CCAAAAAAAAAAAAAAAAAAGAAAATTGCTCATTCATCCATTTAGATCCGACTAGAAATACATCGATCTAGGAAACCTGGCTCGACTCACCTTATTCTTACTCTCTTATCCAGTTGTTTCGATGAATGCACCAACGGGTAAAGAGAGATAAGGGTTGTTAGGTTATAAATTGAAGTTGTCCTTGAAACGGGAAGCAAGAAAGAGAAAAAAGGTATGAAAAATGCAGGCTAAACTAACCATCGAAAAACGTGATTGACAGATCTTTTTAGTGAATTCAAGATCAAACTACTACGAAAAGGGACCATGAATCCATTAAATGCAAGACACGTTTACAAAGAAATGAGTTATGAATGCGTACTTCACTGTGGACTATTTTGTTCATCATGGACATTTTTGGGACGACATTTGTGAAGAAACTCGATAACAAAAGTCATTGAAATATTTGGACATTTTGGTTGTGACACTAAAATGAGTTATCAATGTTTATTTGGGAGGAAAATTGAGACCAACAAATAAGAAAATTATAAACCAAAGCAAATAAACTAGAAGAAAACATGAACACAATCGTTATTAATAAGACTTCAGTTCGTCAAATTTTTAGATCCTACATTAATGGAAGAGAGAAACAAAACGTTTTTATAGGGTGTGAAAACCTCTCACTAACATAAATATTTTAAAAATTGAGACTTGCGGCAATACGTAATGAGCCAAAGCTGACAATATGTTAGCGAGAACGAAAGGGAATGAAGTCAAAGTCAGACACCGGACACCAGGCGATGTGCCAGCGAGGATGCTGGTCTCCAAGGGGATGGATTGTGACATCCCACGTCGACTGGAGAAGAGAACGAAGCATTCCTTTCCAGCGAGTACGCTAGCCCTCAAGGGAGCAGATTGTGATATCCCATATCGGTTGGAGAGGAGAACGAGCGAAGACACTGGCACCCAAGGGGGGTGGACTGTGATATCCCACATCGGTTGGAGAGGGGGCTGAACGAGGATGTTTACCCCAATAAAGTGGACTGTGATATTCTATATCGGTTGGAGAGGAAACGAAGTGTTCTTTACAAAGGTGTGGAAACCTCTCCCTAATAATCACGTTTTAAAACTGCAAAACTGACAGGAATATCTAACCGGCCAAAGCAGACATAAAATGTTAAAACGAAACTCTAATCTAAATTCTGAAAGTGACCCAAACAAACTCTCTCAAATTGGTAACCTCAATTATGAAATTTCATAAAGTCTATGAACAGTTTGACAACTAAATATATTAAATGTTTCATGTGAATAGGATGAATTTCTCTAAGAATTATTTTGCTGTAGAAATAATTATGTTTTTTTTTTTTAAGGTTTTATAGTATAAAATAAAATAATTATTAATTTTTAAAAATATATATTTCATGCCATTAAAAGGTGCAATAATTTCTTGATAAATTATTGAAATAATTTCTTGGTGTTGACTTTGGTCAAAATATTGCAGCTGAACATCTTAAACATAAATCCAGACAACAATCAACGACAAAGCTCAAACTTTAATGACACTCCTAAATTTGGACAACGTTTGAAATTTACTAACTCAGTGTCAGTCAAAACCTTAATCTAATAACTTTAATATAATACTAAAAATGGGTAATTGGTTAGAATCTTTAATATAAAATTAAGACGTTTATACTCTCGACCAATATAAAATATTTGAATCTTCTACTGCAAATCTTGTTCAGCTAAAAGACTCGTGAGTTAAATATTCGTTCTTCGATCAATTCAAATATAGTTTAGAGGTTAAGACACCAACTGAATCTCACCTGCCTCTAGGGTTAGTGTGCGGGAAAAAAATCATATATTAAAAATTCCAACAAATTACTCACTTCAAATTCATAGTTTTTATGTCTCACATCAACGTAACTGTTTTATCTACTCTGAGTCGTACACATCTTCGTTTTGATCATCTGAGTGACCTAATTTATAGCTTGAACCAGCTTCGAGCCTAACAGCTTTCGTTCTTCGACATCATCCCAAAACATTAGAGATCTACAACATCTCCCATAAGGATGGCTGCTTGGTAACTGTCGTTATAAGAAAACTCCATAAAGTGTAATAGAAAGACCAAACTGTTTGTCGTTCTCCAAGGTCTAGTTTAGAGGTTCAGTTTGGTCATCTATCTATGGATAAAAATTCATTCTTAACTTCAACAACCTAGTTATTTTCTTGGTATACATTTGCATTCAACTATTAACCGAGTTCATAGACTTTCCTAGCAGGAAGTGTGTCGATTTAGTGTGCCTATCAATGATCACAATATTATCGTGTAGCCTTTAGTCATCCATCCTCGGTTACTCTGGAATGAAATCCATGGCTAATGTGTGTAGAGGTGATCAATCTTCATATTGAACCGTACAAAAACTCAAAAATGCACTCGAGCAAGAATGGTACGCTCAAAATCGATTTCGAACCGTGAGTCCCTACTAATATCATTGTCGGTGAGGCAACCACCGATTGTCTCTTTATTTATTTCAAATTTTAATTTTAATTTTCATCTTAATTCAGGTATTACATCATTCCTTCAACATATTTTATCTCTTTCAATAATTTAGCGCGGAGGGAATTTGAGAAGTATAAAGATAATGATAATAGCAACAAATCCATATATGAATTAAAATATTTTAAGATGCCAAAATTTAAATAAACATTTCATATATTTTGGATTATATCCCAACCTCCATATTTTCTCAAAATAATTCATATTCGCATAGAGAGAGCCAAGAAACATATGATATGCATTATGAATATCTTTTTAATTTCACAGCTAAGGTGCATACATGTGACAACCAAA